CTCAAAACTAATAATCATAGATTATCACCCATCCAAAGAGGAGAGAGAACATGAAATTCTTGCTATGGGAAGGAAACATCGTGAAATCATCAGCAAAAGAGTCGAGTCTTCCACCAGCATTGAAGCATTATTTAATCCTGATAAACATGGATTAATTCCACAAGTTATTGTGTTACAGGGAGCTGCAGGAATTGGAAAAACCATAATGGCCAAAAAAATCATGTTTGATTGGGCTTCTCAACAAATTTACCAAGACAAATTTAATTATGCTTTCTATATCAGCTGCAGTGAGATGAATTTCCATGCAGAGTCCCAGAAAACTAGTATTGCAGAAGTAATTTCAAATGAATGGCTCAAGTGTCACGAAGTGAAAAATGTCATTCAAAACATACTGAAGAATGAAGAGAAGCTTCTGTTCATAATTGATGGGTTTGATGAATTAAGGTATTCCTTTGATCAGCCAAAAGATTCCTTTTGCATTGATCCCTGGAAGAAGGAGCCAGTGAGAATTCTTCTGAGCAGTTTATTTCAAAAAAAGATTCTTCCTAAATCCTCTCTTATAATCACAACAAGACCAATGGCTTTGGAGAAACTCCATCAATGTTTAGAATATCCACGGTATTTTCAGATATTGGGGTTTTCCACAAAAGAAAGAGAAGAATATTTCTATAATTTTTTTGAAAACGAAGACCAAGCAATGCAAGCTTTCAGATATGTTAAACAAAATGATACGCTTTTCACCATGTGTGTCATTCCCCTTGTGAGTTGGATCATCTGCACAGTGATGAAACAGGAGATGGAGAGAGGCAAGGATCTTCAGAAGACACCATACACCCTCACTGCAATATATATGTTGTATTTCTCCAGTTTATTAAAGTTTCACCATAAAGAATCCAAACCGGATGTCCAAGGAAATGTAAAAAGCTTATGCTCTTTGGCTGAAGAAGGAATCTGGAAACAGCAAATACTTTTTATGGAGGAAGAAGTCAAGAAGCACAGTTTAGATCAGAGAGACTACCTCCCCCTCTTTCTGAATCAAAGTGTCTTCAAAAGGGATATTGATCGTATTCAAACCTATAACTTCATTCACTTAAGCTTCCAGGAATTCTTTGCTGCTTTGTTTTATGTCCTAGAAGAAGGAGAGGAGCAGCATTCTGAAAACTGGAATAAAAATTTGCAGACACTGTTAGAAAGTCATAAATCTTTTAGGCGTGACTTTGCAGTAGGATTTCGCTTTCTTTTTGGTTTTTTAAATGAAGAAAAAAGAATGAGGCAGCTGAAAAAAGAATTTGGATGGGAAATTTCTCCTAAGAATAAAGAGTTCTTATTAGACTGGGTGAAAAATAAAATTAACAGAAGAATTAATTTCCGTCGGCAAAAAGAAATCTTAGCTTATTTATATGAGACACAAGATGACAATTTTGTAAATGATGCACTATGTGGTGTCACTGAAATAATTTATCAATGCAATTCTGATATGGAATTGATGATCCTGGCCTATTGTATACAGCATTGCCAAAATTTGAAGAAACTCCTTATTAAAAGCCCTACGTTTCCATATCGGGAGTCGGAAAATTTATTTTTTTCAAAAACTGAGTAAGTATTTTTTTGAAAGTTTATAACCCATTGAGCATTTAATTCTGTTTATAACCCTACCACCACTACTCTCTAACCTTAAATATAACAATAGACCAGAAAAATGCCACTTAGAATTATGCATAAACGTCTTTGAGCAATTAAGGAGAGCTCTCAATCCTTGGCAGTGGAAGATAAGAGATGGCTTGGGCTAGGTAGATTGGGAGGATGATTAACTAAAAACAAGCAGTTGTCTATTGGTCAGGTCAATACCAATCAATCTCTCTTGCACTTAAAGAACCGGATCATTATATCACGAGGAAGCGCTCAGTTCAAGATCAGAGAGACAATTGCTGTTGAGATCTGAAAGCTGTAGCCATTTAAAATAAACAGAATCACTTTTTTTAAAAGTGATTGTTTTCTACATAGCCTGACACTGATGTCTTTAAAGACTGATTGGAAGCCCTCTGGGCCATAGGAAAGACCACTGTCTTTCTCCCTTTGACTAAAAAGAGCTACATTCAACACCCTCAAATGTGTTCATCTTAAGTGGCAGATAACATAAGAAGGTGCAGTTGTAATAATTGGAAACTTCATCCCTCTTAAAACACGACCATTTTGAAATTAGTCATTTTTTAAAATAGACTATATGGTTTTATCTAAAAAAATTAATTCAAACACTACCTTATTTTTAATCTTAAATAAGAGGAGTGGATTGAGAAATTAATGGAATTCACCCTGTGGTGTGACTTGGACCAGTTTTTAGGAGAATGTTTTCTCTGCTTCAGCACTGAATTGGGGGTCATTTTCTAGTGTTGTTGAGGAAATTGCTATACTGAATAAACTGTAGGATTAACATTTAAGGGTTCTCCTATAAAACTTTATAGTTTCGCAATACTTTTTAAAAAAAATGTTTTTGAATAAACACAAACAGACAAAACACAACAAACACCACAAAACTATCTTTCATTACAAATGATAAAGAGTGTGTCAATTGGTTACAAAGAGCTTNCATCTTCCCAAAGGGAAACTCAGTGGAAAAGCCAGCAGGAAATTGTTCCCACTCTCACTGTTTTTTGCCCTCCGTTTCATTTTCTCTGTAAGGAAAGTTATCTAAAATAAAGTCCCAACAGGGCAGAGGTTATTTAGTGTTACATTATACTTGCCCATTCATAGTTTCTGTTTTTGCACAACTTATTCAAAACTTATAATAAAATAAAGTTTTCTGTCGATTGATTAATTAAGGCCATCATTTTTTTTCAATCTTAAACAAAGAAATGTAACAAAGAAATAAATAAATTGATACAACCCTCCTACTGCTAAGAATAACACAGAGAATCCATTTCTGTTGTCCAGCCATCATTTCCATGAAATAGTTCAAAAGAAGGTACCATTACAAAAAGTTAAAATCCAAATTTGACTGATGTATATAACAATCTCTCTTCCAAACATAATATACATTGCAAAAATGTATTTTAAATGGGATGTTAGTCTTGGTACATCTCCAAAATAGCAATGTTTATTGATTCTTTTTCTATACAAATGTTCCAGAGAACTACAAATAAAAAATATTATTTTGTTGAAAAAATATTTTTAATAATCTATATTATTAAATATTTTAACGTAGATTTGATGTCAAGATTATTAATCTTATGTTGTTAAATTAGATCCAATCTCTACTTATTTATTGCATTCACATTTTAAAATGGGCAAATCAAAGTGATTTATTGAACACCATTATTAATAAAGAGTAGTGGAATGTGGAGTGTCATAAGATTTGATGATCACTTCTAATGATTTATGTGTCTCTCTCTCAAGTTAAAATACTGCTGGTCCAAATTAGGATGACAACTGGGGTGTCTTTATGGTGGTCACAGCATCTCCTGGTCAGAGGAAGAGTCAGATACAGAGGCACAACACTTAATTGGGTGTCTTGTGTAGGCTAATTTTATTCTTCCTTTAGATTACAGAAACTACATTAAACAAAAATTTGCAACAATCAAAGATCCTAATGCTATGCCTGGTGAATATGTGGCCCTAAACCAGAGATACTCAAAGCTAATCATCCTAGATTATCACCCATCAGAAGAGGAGAAAGAAGATGAAATTCTGGCGATGGGAAGGAAACATCTTGAAATCATCAGCAAAAGAGCTAAATCTTCAGCNGACTCTAACCTCCACTTTTTCCATTTGCTGGATATCTTCAATTTTTCCATCAAATTTTACTGCATTACAATCTATATTTTCCAATCTCTTCTCAAGTCTCCCTGTTGTTTCTAATAATATTTGAATTTCGAACATAATCTGTTGTAATGTTATGGTTTCTTTTTATTGTGTCATACTGCCAACTAGTAAACATTGCCACTCTAGTTTCAAAATAAGATTTTGTTTTCACTTCACTCCAGCTGCCAAAGAAACACCCAAAGAGCACCTGTGTAAACAGCCTGTACTCTTCTCCTTATCTCTTCTGTAAACAAGCTGAAGCCTTTGAAGTGCAAAATCAAAATGATCAAAGAGAAAAGAGAGAAAGCAATATTCCCAGGACTCAGCCTCCAAGTGGCAGTGTAACTTCTTTTCCCTCTGATGTTACTACCCTCTTTATATTCCTTTTATATCTTCTTTATATTCTAGGCTTAAAAGAAACAAAATTCTTAAATGGAGCAAAAAAGAGAGAAAAAAAACCTTCAAACCAATATTATAAAAATAAAGAAAAATATTTAATCCATAGGTGAAAAAAGAAATAGAAGAAGAGAAACCAATACTTTAACTTTAAAAAGTAGGGAATACTTGCAAAACTTCCATCCATAAAAAAGGGGGGGAAGGATAACATACTGTCCAATATAGCTTAATTTCACTGCTTATTTTTCTTTTCTTTGCAAGTTTAATTTAGCTCTGATTTTTGGGGGGCAGTCTCTTTTATAACAATAAAATTTCCTCATCAGATGGACACACTTTCTCTTTCCGCTTTCCTCCTGTTGCGGAGTTGTTCCAACTTCAGCAACTTTTGGCTGCGCTTCTGTCGCCAGCAAGAAGAGATTATCTTGGATCAATCAGGGACTTTGCGATGTCCCTGAGATCAGCAAGACGTACTCTTCCCTGTCTTCAGGATGGTTTAGGTCCAAAAGGACCATCCAGCGGCAAAAGTATTGACTGCGATATCGGAGCTCCGAGATCACATGTCATACTATTGCAACGTCAACTCCTGTCTCCCATAGTTTCACAATACTTTTGTTTAATACTTGTGAACTTTGACTTCAATGTAGATTTTTTTTCTCCAGTAGAAGGAAACATGGATAATTTCCCCATTGTAGTTTTNTTCTTCTGCTGTAGCCATAGGTGTGAGCTCATGTTCTCCTCAGACTGTGCTCACTACAGCTCCCAGTGAAACCATTTCCTCCTTATTTATTCCTCCCATCTGTGACTGTCCTAAGCAAATGTTGCAAAACAGAAAGCCAGGCAATTACAGGTTTGAAGAACTATTTCCAGATTGCAAATTTTGTGCTAACACCCATCAAATGATTAAGAAAGTTAATCTTTAGAATGTTCAAAGAACCCATAACTTGAATTGGAGGTTGAATCATCAAAGTCTAGCATCCAAGCATCAGATAATCCATGAGCCAGTCTGAATGTCAAGCCTTGGTTCTAGAGCAGGAGTGTCAAACTTGATTTCATTGAGGTCCGCATCAGAGTTATGTTTGTTTTCGGGGGAGGGTGAGTGGACATGGCTGGGAGGCATGGCCAGAGTTGGCATGGCCAGCTCAACATTCTGCAGTCCTCCGGCAGCAAAAACAGAGACCAAAAGGATCTTCCTATGTTCCATTTTCACTGGCAGAGGGCTGCAGGAGACTGTCACAGCTTAAAATGGAGCATGGGAGGACCACACACAGTCCTCACGAGCTCAGTCTTTGCTAGCAGAGGCACTGCAGCCCAGTCCTTCACTGTTTCCAGGGGAGCCACACAGGCCAGATCTAAGCACCCCATGGGCTGAATCTAGCCTGCGGGCTTGAATTTGACACCTCTGTTCTGCTGGTCATTGCTGTCATATAATACTATATGCTGACATGACTTGATTAGGTGCAATGCTGCCTTTTCCTTTCATGTAGAGGCACTGATGGCTTTTGTTCAGCCCTCCATGGCTCCTTGTGAGTTCTAGATTAGGTTCCCTATCATAATGTGTTCCCCCATTATCTGAATAGGACCTCAATTGCACTGACTCATTGGCCTTGAAGCTGTCACAGATGTCTGATTTCCTGCTTACTTTTCAGATGAATAATCTGTTCCCCCTTCAACCCCAGACTCAGAAGACTGATGAAATCATAATAGCGTTAGGGAAGCAAACACAAATTGGGGGGTCTTGGACAGTGGTGAAAGTAAATTTTTTTTTACTACCGGTTCTGTGGGCGTCGCTTGGTGGGCATGGCAGGGGAAGGATACTGCAAAATAGCAATAGCAATAGCAGTTAGACTTATATACCGCTTCATAGGGCTTTCAGCCCTCTCTAAGCAGTTTACAGAGTCAGCATATCGCCCCCAACAATCATTTTACCCACCTCGGAAGAATGGAGCCACGGTGGCGCAATG